CGCTTCGGCCTCTGCCACGCCTGCGCGCAGCGCGGCCGCTCCGTCGTCGCCAAGTATCGCTGCCCCCGCTGTCAGGTCGCGTCGTGCTCGCTCCCCTGCGTCATCGTCCACAAGACCGTCACTGTGAGTTTACCACGCTCCGCTTGCTGCCTCTGCCTGTATTGTCTTTGCCCACATCCTACACATTGATCACGCCACTGACACCAAGTCTCCCGCTAACCGTTATTCATCCATTCATCCCCCCGCCCCCACCGTCCCCCACAGAAATGCTCCGGAGTGCGCAATAGGGCCGCCGCTGTGCGCAAAGTCAACTACAACGAGACCAATTTCATCAACGACTATACGCTGCTCGAGGACGCCGGTCGCATCCTGGACTCGGCCGCCCGCCTGCGTCAATCCCCCATCCCCCGTCCGAACGGGAAGAACCGCCCCCGTCCTCCCGGCATATCCAAGGGCCGCATGTCCATGCTCACCAAGGAGGCCGCGAAGCGCAACATCAACCTGCGCTTCATGCCGCGCGGCTTTGCGCGCCACGCCCGCAACTCGTCCCACGTCCGCTCCATTCCCGAGCCGGACGTCCCGCCGCCGCCGCCCGCTCCGCAGGAGAAGAAGGACCCCCGCGTGAAGGCCATGTTCTGGCACTTGGATCTCTACTTTGCCAGTTGCAGTGACAAGTCCCCCGGCACTAAGCTCGTCAAGGTCGACGCTTGTGAGGAGGAGCAGCGCATTGAAGCCATTTTATTGGGCGCCACTGGCGCCCTGAAGAAGGGCAGGAAGAGGAGGAGGTCCGATGCTATTACATGTACGTCCAAGGCCAATGATGGCTACGCAAAGTATTTGTGCGCGAGTCCGGACGACTTGGTCGTCTTTCTGCGGAACGAGCACGTCCTGGCCGCCAGCACCCTCATCTCTCCGTCCACATCGCCTCGCCCGGTCTCAACTCGCTCCGACAAGTTTGACTTGAATCGATACGTCCCCATTCACAATGCCCAAACCCTCAGGCAAGCCCTAAGTGGAAGGTCTGTCGTTGAGTTCCCTGTGTTGCACGTCGCCTTCGCAGGAAGTAAGCAAGCCAAGGAGTTGGCATGTGCTACGTCGGGCATCTTTGAGAAGCCCGATGAGACCGATGACTCAGATTCTGCCTCGTCGGCGGAGAGCGAGTCGGAAGATGAGGACGCCCATGTGCCGGAGCCTGTCGAGCCAAAACCCCCGACAACTGAGGCCGCTTCGGCGGAGAAACCGACCCACACAAGCTCCTTTTCGGGCATCTTATCGGTAGACGGACAGCAGGAACCCTGCCCAGAACGTCCGTTGAAAGCCAGACGACTTGAATCGCCCCTGAGCGTGGCCCCTACAGCTAGTCCTTCGGACCTTCAGAGCACTGCGAACTCCGCTACTCTGTCAATTAATGGAAAGCAGGAGGAAGGCTCGAAGATTCGCTCACCGATCACAATGGATAATCACTCTGCCGACGAGAAACCAATATCCATTTCGAAGGAGGTGGGTCCAAGCAAATCGCGTTTTGACTCACACGGCGGGAAGTGGAAAGAGGGAGAGGGCCGAGGGCCGAGAAGGGGTGTAAACCCAGAAGATTTTGGAACTTCAGAGTCTGAATCTTTTGCTGTAGATCCGCATGGTATGAGGGGAAGTGGTCTATCGCTTGAGGATCCGTTCATGAGAGAATCTGTGAAGGCCATTCTTGAAACGAGGATTCCGAGGAAGCGGAGGGAAGACAAGCCACCCCCGTGTTCCTCGAGCTCCGACAAGCAGTCCCCGCCTCGTAAGCTCGCTGCCACAGGGTGGTAATGGCAAACAATAGAAGTAAGATAACTGTAAGAAACTAGTCACACTGACGAGCTCACTAAAAGCAATATTTCTAAACGTCGCAAACTGAGAAGAGCGATTCGATAAAGTAAATCCATCACTATCAATGTCTATGGATTTTTACTTGCATACCCTTTACGTTTATGGAATAGACGATGCGCAGACTATCTGTATCTACAGGAAGTTGGCCGCCCGCACAGGCTCATATTCTCTCGTTCGCGGAGAGGTACGCATGTACTGGCGTGTGTCCGCTATCGGTGACACTTGACTTCCAGACTTGGAACCGCCTCCGCTCCGAAGTGAGGAACCAGATCCTCTCGACGACCGAGAATTCACAGAGGCACTACGGGACCTGGGCAGACCATCCTCTCCCCCTGGCGACGCTCGAGAGCGAGAATGGCTTCCAGATGACTGGCTGGGCGGCCCATTACGCATCGGATCCCGTCGCACATGCGTTCCAGTGGGGCGCCTTCTCAAGGAGCTGCTCTCCTTTCCAGTGACAATTCCTCCAATCCTGTCCTTAATCATTAGCCAAGCGTTCTTTGCAGGCGTTGGCGATGCTGCGATACCCCTAGAGCGAGTGGCGGTATGGTATCGTGCCCCAGAACCAGAGCCTCCAGGTCTGTTTTGACCGGCAGGACGTATGGGTTCGTGACTGCGGTAGGAACTAGAATCTGTTCTAGCTTGGCGATCGGGAAACCTACTAGCGCTGTGCGCGGCCGCGTCCTTGTGACGCAACTCCTCTAACTCTTCAGCTCGACGAACTGCTTCCATTCCCTTTCTCTTCGCAAGATCTGCTTCCCGACGAAGACGAGCACAATCATCGTTCGCTCTAGTCACGGCCTCCCTGAGCTCCTTGATCTGTCTTTGACTGACGCCTGAAGTGCTCGTAATGTGAGACAGTTTGTCTTGATACTGCAGGACCTGCTGGCGAAGGTTCTCCGTTTCCCTGAAGTTGTCGTGTAGTTTCTTAGAGAACTCATTCACGAGTTCAACCTGAGCACCAACATGGGCCATTTCCAATTGGTAACGTTGGTCAGCTCTCTGTCTCTCAGCGCGCATTGTAGTGATGTCACTCTGGAATCCAGTGTTCTTGGATAGCAAGTCTTCACTTGACTTTTGCAGATTGGCGATGAGGCTTTGCCTATGCTCTAACTCTTGCCGCAAAAGCTCGAGTTCTTCGTCCCTCTTCTCCGTCATTTCGGTCATCTGTTGAACCATTGCCCTCTGCACTTCAGCCCAAAGCCCTCTCGTCTCTTTTGTCATTTGGTCTGCAATCTGCTCACCCTTCTTGTCTGACTCGTCAAAGCGAGAATGCAAATTGGCATGACCCTCTGTGATCAGCTTATTCAGGTTTTGGCTCTCAGCAGACATAGAGTTCCTCGACGATGCCAATGACGATCTGGCCTGGGTGGTGGTGCCCACACTATCAATCGCCACACTCAATCGACTCCTAGCATCCTTCAGCTCGCCCTCTCTATCGGCCAAAATTTGTGTCATTGCACCCACAACCGATTCAGCGTTCTGCTTGTCCAGCAGAAGTTCTTCTTCTTGTTCGACACGCTGTGTCTCGTGGAAAGTCATTTGAAGTTCTTGCCTAGATAACATGTCACGCGCATTTAGCAATTCTTTGGTTAACCAATCAAGATGGCGCCGATCAATTCTAATTACGTTGCCATCGGTAGCGACAGTTCTGCCTTGAGTGCCGTGAGTGCTTGTGCTGTGGGTGGTCTTCGTTCTCCGACGGGAAGCACGTGGTGATGGTGGGAGGGGTGGTCGGCTCCGTCCTGGTGTCGCTTCCCTGCTAGTATCGGTGCGCATTTCACTGTTTCGCTGATCCTGACTCGCGCTGGATGACAGCGGGATTCCAGCAGACTGGTCACCCTGTATCGCTTCATCCCAGTTATATCCTTCGCCCTGTCCTGTATGAAGGAAAGAACGTTCCTTCTCTGAGGAAAACGCATCACTGAATGACGCAATGGAACCTCTCTCATCTGCAGAATAACGCCCTGATTCCGTGCTGGCTTCATGCGCCCTTTGGAGGTCCTGATGTACAGGGGACCCCGGCTCCATCCTAATTGCCCTGCGGCGTCTGCTCCTCGGGCTCTCGGCATGGACCGTCTTCGACGGAATGAGATCTGTGTCACCAGACGGTAAAGTGGAATCTTGGGTCGTTGCCTGCGACACGTTTTGGTCACCGCGATATATTGCCGCAAGACTGGAATCCAAACGGTTGGTTCCCCGGTCCGCATTGTCTATGCCTGCTAATTCTGAACTCCTCCAAACCGAAATTAACTTCTGAAATAATCCTGCGGAAGGTGCCATGGTGCTGACTGGATTCGCGTCAACAGACTCAGCGGCATGTCTGCGTGCGGTGAAAGACTCTACCAGAGCTGCTACGGTTGGAGGAGACGGGGGGGTGGGTGGCACTTCACGGTACTGAAGTGCAGTGGGGTATCCACTCGGATGTACCGCACGACGGGGTGCAGGGGATTTCGCCGACTCAGAAGGCGCGAGATACTCGGCGTCTGCTGCCACCATCGCCTCTGCCTCTCGAAAAACGTCAGAATGGCGTGACCCCCGCCCAGAGCCCGTAGATCTCTCAGAAGCAGAGGGGCTGGATCTGGGAGTGCGTCGAATTCTTTCGTTAGAATCCGACCCTTCCGTCCACATGGCCATGGCGGGTCCATTATCTGCTCGGTCCGAACCTGATGCACTCACTGATTGCTGCATATTCCCACTGGAGTGAGCCTCCTCCTCGTCAGGGTTGTCACCTTCATGTTCAGGAGTTGTAACATCGTACTCCTCTACCTTTTCGAAAACGTCGTCCTTGTCAGGATCAAAGCCATCGTCGTAGGGAGCGCCCTCCTCCTCCTGATCATACTCGTACTCATCAGCGCCCCCTTGGGCGCTTTCTTCGCCGTCCTTCTCGAAGCTTGGATCGGTGGCGTCGGCCTGGTTAGCATAGTTGTCCCCATCGTCCGTAGGACCAACGGTTTCGTCGAATGGACTGTCGCCATCTTGTTGGCTAGCCCGCGACCCGTGGGATGCTGTGGGAGGTAACGCAAAGGAGCCGGTGCGCTGCTGCACGGAGCTCTGCGCATGTGCTTGGCTTCCGTCTTGTGGGTTTTGTAGTGGCTGTCCTAAAGGATGCTCGCCTCCGCCGGGAGATTGATACGCTGTGGCGAATGGTACCCTCGAGTTTTTGGACAGGAGCTGCGGATCTTCGAACATGTTTCCTTCCCCAGAATGAGCAGACAGTTGAGGTGATCCATTTCGAAAGAGTATAGGAGCGACCTGGGGGGGTGTCATCTGCGTGGCAGCGGTAGTCCTACTTAATCGCCTTGGCATTGGGGGCGGCGAAAATAACTGCTGCGGAGACATAACGTCAGCCGCATGGGTCTTCTGTCTGTAGATTTGCCACTGACTAGAGGGCTCCGGCGCGTCGGAGCCTGAGGGACTCATCAAATAGGCAGGATTTGTAAAGTCAATCGGAGCCCTACTTGACAACGTTCTTAGCTCTCTCGCGCTGAGATTGATAGAGGAAGAATCAACGGAGGCATCTTCCTGAAGCTCGTCGCTTGGTTCGAACTCTGGAGCGACAGATATGTGTCTCGTGATGGATGTACTTACGGAGTGGCGTACCGTTTCATCGACATGATAAGGGGCAACGCCAGCAAACTGTGTGCTGGGCTCCTGTGCCGGGACGTGAGACACGTCCTCAGTTCCCTCCGTGGGACTATGATCTCCAGGCGTGTGTTCCTTTGGGGTGAAAAAGTCGTCGGAACCAGTCGCGCTATGACCATCTTGATCGACATGCTGGTCGTGCTGGTTAATATTCTCGACAAAATGTTCGTCCACCTTGCGCTCACCTGGGAACTGATCTGTGGCTGACAAACCGTGATCCGTAGAGCGGGAGCTTTGGCGGAGCGGGGAGAGACTGCCACGGCTGTTGTTCTCGTCATCTGTGACAAGGGAAATCTTGCGGCCGCCCATGCGGTCGTCTAGCATAGCACTGTGGGCCAAGGCGGCTTCGCCGAACAAAGGTGGAGCAAAGGCCTCAGCGTCGTGCTTGCGGCTAAGCTCGATAACACCAGTAGATTGAGGTGCGTCTTTTGTCAAAGACGCTGCGGCAATACCGGCTCCAACGGCTGTGGCAGCCGTGGCAGATGCAGTAGCCGTAGCAGTAGCGGAAGTGATCGGGATAGTTGATGGACCAGAGGCACCTGGGTTGTAGGCACCGGGTGTCTCCGTGACAGGTGTGGAAGGGTGAATGGTAGACGAGGCAGTGGGCAAAGCGGGAGTGTTTGAATCAATGTTACGAGAGGGTTGTGAATAAGTAGAGGCGGAGGGAGGTTGTTGGTCGTCTGGCAGAGCGGAAGCGGAAGCAGGGCCGTCGGCGTACAGCAAGTCGGGAGGCGGAAGTTCGACAGCCTGGGCCACAGAGGTGAGGCACTTGTGCAGCGAGTTGCGCAAGCTATCTGTAGGCAGCTGCCAAAAGACGTCGCGGTAGGTGTGGTCTGGTCCGTACACGGCGGCGGCCAAGACGAGCTGTGCGAGCCTCAAGGCCGGGCGGATGTCGCGGACGGGGGGGACGGCCGGAGCGTTTCCGACAAAGTGGTCGACGATGCCCGGGACCGAGTGGATGTTAGCGTCGGCGCGGACGACGTCGAGGAGCTTCTTGACGGCGGCGAGGACGAGGCGGGTGTTATTGTTGTACTGGACGGTCTTCTGGCGGGCGTCGACGTTGGAGAGCGGGGCGCCGGGCGCGGGGTGGGAGATGGGGGCCGAAAAGACGTTGCGCGGGGCGAAGCGGCGGACGGCGTTCGGGGACAGACGCGCGGGGTCGAGCGTGGCGACGATGTCGGCGAGCACGACGCCGTCCGAGAGCAGGGTGGTGAGACG